CCTCCCGCCTCCTGTCACTTAGTGCTGGGATGTACTGGGGACCAGACAGGTATAACCCCCTGCTTCAGAGAAACAGACATTGGATAATCATGTGATTTATTCAGCGTTCATACGTGCTGAAGGGGCCGCGTGAGCAGGTACAGAGTGCCCCTGGGGCACCCAGCGAGCCTGCTCTGTCCCTGTGCCTCGGACTCCACTCTTTAGTGTCAAGGGTGGTGTCAGAATCCTTAGCAACTGTAGCAGCAAGGGCTCTGACCCACGAGAGGGGTAGTGGCTGCGGACAGCAGCGCCTGGGGTTGGTGTTTACGTGGGGAAAGGCGGCTCCTGGGATGGGGACACCGGGCCTGCTTGTAGGGTTCTGCCAGGCTGTCCAGCAGAGGCGGGCCTCAGTCCAGCGGGAGGAAGAGCTTGCTCACAGGCAAGTTGTGCCCAGTGCCTTGAGCAGTGAGCTGGACAGTGGCACCAGGAAGCCCTCAGAGAGGTCCCCGTGTGGTGGGACATGACCCTTGACGTCCCTGGACCTCCTGCTTCCTGGTGCCAGATCAGGCCCTTGTTGGCTACCAGTCTAGTGAGTGAGTTTGTTTCCTCCAAGGGCCGGGCTTTTATTGGGAGGAAGAGAGTCTGCAGCCTAGATACAGGATGAAAGGGTAGGCCCTTCCCATTTCTTCCCACCGAGCTGCACCGCCTCTGGGGCAGAAGCCTCCTGTCTCTGTGCTGGCCCCAGAGACCCAGGGATGCTCTCAGGATGGCGCTGGGGGAGGGAGCGAGGGGAGGACTCTTGCGTTGGAGCCTGAATTTTAAGCTTCCTTCCCCCACGTCCCCTGTGTTCCCAGGAGCAGGAGAAGGAGGCCCGGAGCAGAGCGGCCTACATCTCCGCGCTCCCCGCATCTCCACGCTGGGGCCGGGGCTTTGACGAAGACGAAGACGGGGACGGAGGCTCTCCTGGGGGCTGCAGCCCCGCCGGCGGCAGTGGCGGCGACTTCCACAGACTGGTCTTCTGACGGGAACCCTTCCCCGTTCCTACCTGTGGGGGTGCCACAGCCGGCCTCAGGGAGGCCCTGACCCCTTTCTTCAGGGAGCCAGGTGAGGGCCCAGGTCCCGGGCAGAGGTGTATTGCCAGGTGGGGTGTGAGGGAGGCTGTGGAGTCAGGTCCAGTACTGAGGGCAAGAAAGGTGGAGCGGGAGCTGCCGGGACACTGGCCCTCGGCCCTAAGGCGCACGGAGACTCGGGTGTAGAGTTGAGACCCAAGCCCCTTAAACTTGGCCTTAGGCCCTGACACTGGGCTCGACCCCATTAGGATCTTGCCTCGTGTCCTGGTCAACCTGAAGCACCTTAGATGGACACACTAGCCTTGCCCCCTGTAGACTACCATGTTTTGCCATCAAGTAGCATCGCCCTTCCAGCTCCTTTCAGACGACCCTGTTGCTCTGCCCTATAAACAGCAGAGCAGGAGCGAAGCCCTTGCAGAGAGGGGCCGTGTGTCACACCTCTGGCTGCCTTGTTCTCTGAGGGGGTTTCACAGGTAATGTGTGGGTGCCTGTACCGTTTGTACCTTTTCTGAGCAGAGTGTAGGTGGGCAGCTGCCTGGCACAGGATTAGAGACTGTCTGCCCCCTGACCAAGCAGCGCAGAGGTGAGGACAGCCCCTCACAGTGGGAAACCCTTCACCCCTCTCCCCTAGCCTGCCTCAGTGCCTGAGATACCACTGTCTGCATCCCCCTCTGGGTAAGATGGGGAGTCCTTATTTCACTGCAAATATGCCTGTGTGTCTCATGAAGCCTTTGTCTGTCCTGGGGAAGCTGGCTGGCTCAGCGCCTCATCAGTTGGCCTGGGGGTAGGAGGGGAGGTCTGGCGTGGAGTAGATACTGACCTCACGTGCCCTGACACTGCTGTACCCCTTCTCAGTGGAGAGAAGAGACCCAGGGTCTCAACTAGGAATAAAAACAGGTTCTTGGAAGCCTTTAAAGATGTCGTCCTTCCCACTCAGTGGCTGTGATGTCCGCGTGCCCTGGTTTCCTGGCGTGTCTGGGGAGTAAGGAGGGCACACCCCCTGCTCGCTGACTGTTCAGGCACCGTGCGAGCTGAAAGCACCTACACGGAAGTGCTCTGTAAGCTGAAGGTGAGGACTGGGAGGCTTGAGGCAGGTGCTGGCAGAGGGAAGGGAGAACACACTCATCATCCTGAGGAGCAGGGGAGCCCATTGCCCTTGGAGGGGTGGGTGGGGGCACAGGCGAGGGGCTGCCCAATGGGATGTTGTCAGGGGACTCGCCTGCCAGGTGGGGCTGCAGCCCAGTGTCTGGGAATTTTCAGACCCCCAAAACTCCGGCCTGTACATAAGTAGCTGCTGCCGATACCATATTCCTTCTTCCTTCCCTCTGAGAACTGCGGGGCGGGTGGCCTCTCCTGGGTTGGACATGGGCACACACCAGGAGAAAAGCTGGGAGGCAGGGCTTCCCCCAGGTGCCACTCCACCTGTGGAGCTGGAGAGGCACACAGAGCCCTCATGTAGGGGCCCCTTTCTGCCAACCCTGCCCATCCCCTTTGGGAGAAGAGACGAGGTGGGAAGGCAGGGTCAGAGGCGGTGGCCAGTGGTGTGGTCATGGCTTAGCTTCAAGGGGCGCCTGCCTGTGCTGTAGGTGGAGGAGTTGAGTTTTGGCTCAAATGTCATAGACCCTTGAATGTCAGCTCTCAGGGACCAGCGAGTGGGTTGCTAGCCTTTCAGCACCAAGTCACACATTCATTTTTCAGTCCCAGTGCAGGGTGCCTTCTAAGAAAGATGAATTGGCAGATGTTACTACAGTTTCCATTTTACACACCAGGGATACAGATTCTGAGGTAAGGAGGGGTCATTCTTCTAGCCAAGAAAAGTGCCCAATTATTTTCTATTAAAATGAAAGTGGAGCAGACTGGCCCAGAGCCTTCCTAGGACCATGAGAGAAACAATTTTCTCATCAAGAATATGTTTATGCCGACACATGGGAAGCCCCATCGTGGGATAGTCCTCCCCCAGCCCCTCCGACAGGCAGACTCAGCAGCCCACTCAGTTTGCTTCTAATGGACTTTATTGTTGTCCTGCTCCAACACCATAGTAAAAAGGGACCTGCAAGCACCAGGCCTGTACCATGTGTCACCACAGCAAAAACAGGACCCACACAAACACGTGCCCACCCCACCCCAGACCTACCCACAGGATAAATACGTGTTACAAATTTTTTTTAAAAAGAAAACAGAATAAATTAATAACTTAAGTGATTAGGCACCAACAGTGATTTGAAAAATTAAATGTCAATTTTAAATGACAAGAACCCCAGACTGGGCTTCCCCTAGCCCATTCTCTGTTCCCGACAAATAGCAACAATTCTGTGTGAATGATTCTAAATTTCAAGACATGTAACCAATACACACACAACACACACCACCAAATATCACATGACAGCCTGACTCTCCAGCGGGAACCCCCCTCAGCAGGTGGCCGACCTGGCCCCAGAAAGCTTGGGGAGTCCCAGAATGATAGCCCCATGAGAGGGGCTTTAGAGCTCGTGTGGCCAGTCTCATTCCCCCACATTTGCAGATGGAGGCCCAGAGAGAGGAAGGACGTGTTGCACTCCACTTGCAGAGCTTTGTCAAAGGGGCGTGGGTGGGGGGAGGGCTGGATGGCCACGCCCCAGGGCTGAGGCGGTAAAGGGGCCAAAGGGCAGACTAGAGTTGAGCGGAGCTCCAATCACTTCAGGATGGTTGTGCTTCTTACAACTGGGGCATATGTGAATGATTTCAGATTTAGAGGTTACCAAACTCAATCTAGGGAGGGGACTGGGTTAACTGGCTAATGTTCTGGGTGCTGCCCATCCCTGGTGATCCAGACCCTTGAGAGAGGTCACAGGGCAGGGAATTTGCCTTTAAAACAGTTGAGCATCAGCCACATCAGGGGCCTCAGAGACCTAATATAACCACCCATTTCACACATGGGCAAACATTCTAAGGAGACAAGTCTCCCCGTAGCACTCTCTCTCTCTTGTCACTGTTCCTGCTCTACTTTCTTTAACCCTGCAGAGGTGGAGCTGGAAGTGGGTGAGGACGGCTCCTTCTATGGGGAGCCCCAGGCAGGATGGGTCCTGTGTTAGCTGAGCTGAGAAAGCACCCCCAATCTTGCCAGGCCACCAGGAGAAGTGAGCTTTGACCCAGTAGGCCAAAGGACCAGTTTTTAAACTGAGCTGACAGGTATGTACTAAACACCTGGTAGTTTGGGGCTTGTGAGCCGGTCTCATCTTCTCTTGTACTTCCTTCCGTCTTTACCCTAAGAGTTTGGGAGTTATAGGACTGAAGGTAGGTCTCCTTGCTGATTAGATTTGAACAGTCTCTGAAGACTCCAACCAGTTTAATTCATATCATGGCATGGTCAGAAAATGCTGGTATTAGGGTACCAACACCTGGGCCCACCTGCAGCCTGCTGGGGCACAGGGACACAGTCAGGGCTGACCAGAGTGCACCAGCAGACCTGCCCACTGCAGGCCACCATGGCCATTCCATCTCCAGAAACAAAGAGCCACGGACCCAACTCCCAAACCACAAGGCTTTCCAAGTCTTTCCTCCCTTCTTCCTCCACTGGACCCAGCGCTGCTCTCCTTCCCTTACAAATCTGACCCGTCTTCTCCTGAGGCCCATCTCAGTTACCTCCTTTTACGAGAAACCACCTTGTCTGATCTCGGTCCCCTTCTAACTCCTGCCCCGCTTGTCCTAGGAATGGGTTCATCAGCATTTTCAGTCTCTCTCATGGCCATTACCAATTCCTGGTCCCCCTCCCCCCCCCACTGATTGTGACCTTCTCAAGTATAGGGCAGTCTTGTCAATTCCTGTGTCCTCAGTGCCTAGAGCCTGGTCCCAGCAGCCATTAATATGTGCTGGTTGAAGTGATTTGAACTAATACTAGGAGGAGGGGGCTACTGTGGAGGAAATAACTTCTCCAGGATGGGACTTCTTGGGAATGGTTGGACCCTTGGGCTGGTTAGGGGTATGTACACACACAAACTAAAAGGTGAGCGGTAGCCACCTCCACTCAATACAGTGGGAAGTCATTTTTTTTTTTAGGAGGAGAGTCTATTCCCCAGGGTAAGATGAAACATCTGATCTTTCCAGTTGCCTCTGAAACTCTAGAAAAAGATTCAGAGCCCTCCCTCCTGTCCCTGCAGCCAGGTTTGAGTCCAGCGTGGCACCTGAGATGCGAGGGTTTAACAGAGGGTGATATGAGCTGAAAAACACTCAGCCTGGCACCAGGCCACATGTATACCTGCCCTGGGCCCTGGCATAAACCCCGGTCACACTGCGCAAGCTCTTAGCCACTCCCACGCCATCCCCAGGCTCTGTCCTGCTCTCTCCATCAATCCTGGGAACTGCCACCACGCACACCACTCCCCTGACATCGATCCTTCACTTTCTGCTCTACCTCGCATCCCCATGGCACTTCCTCCTGCAAGTCACTGGGCCCTTAGAGCATACGTCTCCATGTGCTTTGCTGTGCCCCCATGGCCTTCACCTCTGCCTCTCATCTTGCAGAAACTTGCTGCCCCGTCCCCCCTGCGGTGTCCCATGCATTACCCTCAACCCCAGTATCACCTCCAGTGCCCCCACGCTTCCTCCCTCCCACACTGCATCTCCCAGCCCCGCCCGAACCTTCTCTGACGCTGCATCCTCGGGTGGCAGGAACTTGGGGTTGTGCAGCCGCAGAGCTTCGCAGGGCCGACCCCGCAGTCTCCTTGTTCTTCGTTGCCCAACATACTCATCCTCCTGCCTCTCCCACCCCACAGCGGCACTGACACTGGCTGAAGGTGGGGGCCCACTGCAGGTATCACCTCACCTCTGCATCTGGGGAGCCTAACTCCTTTGTCCATAGAGACCACTTCTAACCTTCTCAGCTCCTCCATCTGTCAGTGGCCTTGCCTCTCCCCTGAGAAAGGGATGAAGTCCATGTCCACTTTGGTCTGCTCACCCTTGTCCTCCAGGACAGGCTGAGATGACGGGCTTCCTCCAGGACTGACGGAGGTAGCCCATGCACTGGAGGGAAGGGGGCTGGGCGCCGGGAGCAAGCATGAGGTGTGGAATCTGGCTCAGAGCCCCAGCCCTTCCTTCCATATGTCTGGTGGATACTCAGGTCTAAAGGGAAGGAAGAGGCTGAAGGATGTTTTTTGGCAAGAGCCCTAACTAAGGTGAACAGAGGCATGGCCATTACTGATAAAAACCAAAGGTGGGCCCCAAGTGGGCGGAGGAAGTGCCTCCATCAGGCCCTTGCCTCCCAGGGGAAGGGTCAGGGTCCCTGATGTCAAGTGCTTTGAAGGCGAGAGCGGCAAAGTGGAGGGGATGGGTGGGAGGGGGCAACAGTAGAGGAGAGAGGGGAGACAGGAAGGAGCCAGCTTTGGTGCCTCCGGGCCCCTCTCCAAGCTGGGTGGCCCCCCAGTCACAGCTTCGCACCCTTGGAAGGCTCTGAGGACTGCCGCACGTCTGTCCACTCCTGCATGGTGCTCTGCAGGGCCTGGGTCTTCTCCTTGTCCACCTGGACGTAGTCCACCTTCTCGTCGGAAGTGACGGATGACGTGGATGGCTAAGGGACAGGGTGAGGAAGTAGAAGTGCTGTGAGTTACCATGAGGTGGGGGAGCCCTTCCTGAGCTGTCTCCAGGGGAGGGGAGGGGAGAGGAGGTGGGCCTTATCTGCAGCTCTGCCTGTGGACTGTCTGCTTTTTCTGAATGTGGCCATTAGAGCCTGACTCCAAACTGCATCCTCCTCCTGTGTCATCCAACAGCCCCTCCAGCCCCGATTTCCCAGCTCCTAGGAGGACCCAGGCCCTTCTTGGCCTGGGATGTGGGTCCAGTCCCACATCTCTATGTCCACCCACCTCTGTGACCACTCATCCAGGGGAAGGAATTTGCTGGGGGCCAACAAGCACCAGCCATAGGCCTCTGTGTATATTCCTTTGGGAATCACTCACAGCCACCCTAGGAGGGGAACCTGCCCTTTTCTAGGCCCGGAAGTCCCTTCAGAAGGCCACCGCATCAACAGCAGGGCCCTGGGACCCACACAGGCAGTAAGTGCTCTTCAAAGAGAGCTTGGGACCAGGACACAGGAGTCCCGGGTCTTGGGCCTGTCACTCATCGACTCTGTGACATGCTCTGAGCAGAGCATGTCTCTCAGTGTGCTTTCCCATCTGTACAAGGGGGATGGCCTGGCTGATGAGGTCCCATGGACCCAGGGTACCTGGGTGCTGAGGTGGGGGGGGAGTGGGATGTGCCCTGTAAGACCCAGATGACAGCACAAGTAGCAAGAGGTGGAGTGCTGCTGTTCAGGGCTGAAGGCGCCCTCCTCCAGAGCCCTGAGAGCTCGACACCAGCCCACCCCACCCCACCCACCTTGCGGTGGGGGCTTGGGGAGCTTGGCTGGAAGTCCAGGGCCAGATAATCGACGCTGCCGGTGCTCTTCTTCGGGGCTGGACTGTTGGTGCCACTGGGAATGGGCGATGCAGACACTGGGTTTTGCTATCAGGAGGAAGAAAACAACTGTTCGTAAGTTTAGGAACTGGACTAACCCACCACCCGAAAGCACACCTCTGGGAGTAAGAGCTGCTGGCCGACTTGGAGTCAGGCACTGAGCCAGCGACTTCATGTGCTCACCTAAACATAACAATCCCATGATGTGTAGATATTACTATTATTTTTTAAATTAAAACTGGTTCAGAGAAATTCAGTGACTTGGCCTGAGGTGGTACAGCTGGTGAGCAGGGACGGGAACCAGGTCCGGTTTGTGGCTCCTAAACCTGCACTAATCCCGCTGTACCCTACTCTTCCCCTCAGGCGTCAGGCCAGCTCTCACCTATAGTCTCCCCAGTAGATGAGCCTTCGCTTGCTGGCCCCTAAGAGGGAGCCTATTTCCTTTCTACACTGGATGCTGGAAAGTCAACTCCCGCCCATGGCCTACAGTGGGTGGTCACATGGAAGCAGCACAGTGTCCTCCCTCCAGCCCCTCAGAGATCTGAACAGAGGGGCCTCCTCTGAGGGTAGGGACTATGACGACCCCACAGTGCTCATTACACAGGTGGTTCACGAAAGATTTTCAGCAGCAAACAAAACAACAAATAATGTAGGAATCCCTGGGCTGCGGTGAGTGAGCTGAGGGGTGGGGATGTAAGGGTTAGGTCCCAGGGGTCTCACCATAGAGACGTAGTTCTCTTCACTGTCTCCCGAGTCCGTGCTGGTGATGCTCTGTGAGGAGATGGGGCGGCAGTACTGGGAGGAGCTGGAATTGAAGGTGTGGCTGTTGTGGGGGGAAGACAGATAGTAAACCTGGGGAAGTTTCCAGCCTCCACCTGGGCCTCCAACCCCTCACACACCCAGCCCTCGGCCCTCAGAGCTCCACACGTCATCAGACAAAGATCTGATGGGGCAGATACAGACGAGGAAACTGAGTCCCAAGAGCTCTAGAGACGGCTCAGCTACTGACGCATGATCATCAGGGTGCGGCCTTCCTGACTCCCAGCCTGGCCACCAGTCCCTTTGCCAACCCTGACGGCTCTGGGCCAAGCTCCTACTTCCAAAAGGACACTCACACAGCCCTAGACCAAGACTTGGTGACAGGTGACTTGAAGGGGAGCTCATCGATGACAGTGGTGTTTCTCAGGTCGAGTGGCGTTGGCTTTGCTGGATCAGGAACAGAAAGGCGAATTATCAGCCACTAGTAAAAATGTCACACACACATTTTTACACATAACACACGGTATTTATGAATGCTCTCAGATCCATCCTAGTTTTACAAGAAACTAAGGCTCAGCACGGTTACGTAATCTTTGCCCATGTTGACAGGCCTTGAAGTCATGTCTTCAGATTTTAAGTGACATTCTTTGCATTATACCCATGGTCATTGTATTTTCAGAATCCAAAGCGGGGACACAGGGTCTGACCACAGGTTGCTCTCCCCAGATGTGTGACCACGTAGGAAGATGGGAGAGGACACCTGAATGGGAGAATGACTCCTGTGCTGCCCCTGGGCCAGGGCTGTGGAACCTACAGTGGAAGAAGGTGAAAGCCACAGGCCCTGCAGGCTTCCATTCAAGCGCTAAGGTCTGATTTCCCTGCTGACCAGGCCAACTGGGCTGATCTCCACCAGAGGTTACTCTGCTTCTCCCTCTGAGTCCCTGCCGCTGATCCGAGGCCAGCAGTGTGAGGTGGAGGCAGGCCTGGAACCCAAACTCTAGCACTTCTTCCCGGGGCAGATGCTGGGACACAGCTCTAACTTTACTGAACACCTGCTGTGGACCAGAGTCAGAGTCCTGGATGCTTTCCTTCTGAACTACTCCCATTTCACAGATGAAGAAAACCAAAGCTCAGAGAATTTAGACAATTTGCCCAAAGACACACCTAGGAAGTCCTATGTGAGGATTCCAACCCCCATTTATGTGGTTTGAATGCTCAAACCTTTCTAGTACATCATAGTGGGTCTTTTAATAGATGACTACTTTGTCAGTCCTGCCCTGTCTACCCCAGATCTAATACTGACCCTTTACCCTTGAATATTATGAGGTACTTTCAGATATAGCATCTATGTCCCTTAATTCCTCTAAGAGGCACGTATTATATTTCCCATTTCACAAATGAACAAACAAGGCTCAGAGACACAGGATTTGTCTCTGTTCACATGTCAGCAGGTGGTGGAGCTGAAACCTAACTCTGTCCTGGCCACCAGGCTTCTCCTGCAGCCAGTCCCTAAGGTGCCAGACCACTGGGATACATTTGGAGGGGGGGGTGTGTATGTGTGAGACTTAGGGGTGGTGTAAGCCCCAGAGGCTACCACTTCCTCACAAGTAAAGTTCAGGACCCACACCCACTTGATCGCTATGTGAATGCAAACAGGCCACTGTCCAGAGGTGGGACAGGGAAAGCGCTGACTTACCTTTCCGGTCAGGTTTGAGGTTGCGGTTGACAGGGGGCGGCTGGATCTCACTCCCCCGGCTGGGGCCTCGGTGCATAGGAAGGGCTGTCGAGGGGTAGCCAAACGGGTCAAAGTGATGGGGCCCCGGGCTCATGGGGATGTAGATGCTCTGGGAGTTATCACCTGCTCGTTCCATGGCCAGCAGGGTGGAGGAGCCGGGATTCATGGGCACGTAGTTGTCTTCGGAATTGGTGCTGTCTGATCGGCCTATGAGTGTTTTCCCTGGCTAGGAAGGAGAGTGAAAGAAATACAGCTGTCACTAGCAAGAAGAAACGAGAGGGGGTGTGGATTTAGATTCAAGGGATGGGCAGTCATGACAGAGTTGTGCTGTGAAGCTGTAAGGCAGACCCTGGGAAAATCAAGTAAGGAAGCAGAGACAGGAAGAAATGAGGTGTGTGGGTCCCTTCTAGCTTCCAGGCTCCCCTGGGATAAATCTTCAGTATGAAATATCCTTGGTGGTTGGGTCCATGAGGCTTTCCAGATGCCTAAGGCAGAGGGTAGCACAGGCTTGGTTCAGACCACCCTCCACCTCGAGTGTGGACTCACCACTAGGAAGTCAGTGTGTCAGGCCCTGAGCTGGGCAAGGAGCGCATTAGAAGCCTTGGCCCTGGCAGGTGAGGGCTGGGCCAGCTGTGCTTCCCTGGGCCTGCTCTCAGTGTGACCAGCAAGCTGTAGCCGGAGTGTACAACCCTGCAACCCCGACGACAGCCTTCCTTCCACTCTTGCCCTGTGTGTCCAGACACATAAGCTGCATCTGCTTTGGTTACCTAATTTCCAGTCTTTTCCATGCACCTAGAGTCAGGCCCAGTCTGCTTAGCTGGGGCCTGACACCTTGCAGAACCGTGATCAGCCCCCTCCAGAGGGCAGCCTGGGATCCTGCACTCAAACCATAATTCTGCCACCGAGCCTGACTCTGAGCCACCCCTGGTTGGTGAGCCTTGTAGTCCAGGGTTATCTAAATACACACATTTCCTCCACAGCAGGACACCTGTACCTTACTTTCTAAAAACTCAACCCAGGGTTCTGAACTGAGACAAGAAAGAACTAGGCAGGGTCCTAAGAGGGAGATGGCTATCACTCTTTGGGTGACCTTTAACCCATCCAAGCTGGCTCGAGGACCCCTGGTTGAAGCCCACTCACCAGGAAAGAATTAACTCTGTCACCCACGGACTCTGCAGAGCGGCCGGCACTCTCTCCGCCACGCTGAGGGTACTCGTAGGACTCACAGGAAGAAGCTGTGGCAGGAAGAAGATCAGATGCACTCACAGTTAATCTGTTGTGGACACTCATCAAACCCTCCCCAGTGTTGCTCAGGGTCTCACTGAAACTCCAGAAGATGTTACCCTCAACCCCGTGAGCAGGTATTACTTGTGTCACATCACTCCTCGGTTCAGAAATTCCTCCCAGGCTTCTAGACCGAGCTCCAGTGTTGGCGTCTACACTGAGTCCCTCCCTGACCACTTCCGCCCTCATTTATGCACCTCTCCTCTAACTCTATAGCACTTACCACCTGTGCCACTCACGGGGCCATCGCTGATACAGATTCTACAGTAATGATACCTGACTGACTTAATACACGTGGATTTTATTTCCCCAACTGTATGTGAGTTCTCTGAAGGGCAGGGACATTGTTGTCTATGTCTCTGTCATCTCCATGCCAAAGCACAGGGGGACTGACTGAATAGTGGCTGTACTGGAAGACTGCAAAGAGTACTGAGCCAGGAGTCGGGACCCTGGGTCTAAGGCCCATCTGTACCCGTGACTAACTTTGCAACCCTGAATAAGTGTCTTCACTACCACAGGCCTCACATGAAATGGAGACAATGAGGCTTTGCCTCGCCAAATTCTCAGGGTCACTACATGGCTTAAACAACAGAGCAGATATAACAATAGGCTTTGCAAGCTATAGAGCAAATGCAAAATGAAAGGTATTGATATTATTGTGCTTTTTGATTAAACATTACATGCAGAGATGGAATACTCTTAAGTGGAAAACAAGTGACAACAGAAGTTAGACGTTCAGACTTTAAACAGATTCAAGAGGGGTTTGGGAAATATTCTGAAGATCTAATTTTGCTTGAATAATCTGCTAGTCCACATAGGTTTGGCTCATTTGGGCTGGTCCTCTAAGCTGATTTTTACAATCTTTGGTTTGATTTATAAATTAATAAAATACTATGATTGAGACTTCCAAATGCATAGTATGTTGTTTTGTGGTTAACCAAGAATGTTCTGTCTCCCCTAGTAGAATATTAATTTCTCTGAGGCAGGGTCTGCTACACTCTGGCCACTGTGGGTGTCCACGAATAGCCTCCTGCTGGAGGACTGACTGGGAAGGGTTCTGAGTAGGTGTCTGAGCCATGTCAGTGACTTGGCTGGTCCTCAGGTCTCTTGGGCATGCAGGACCACGGAACAGCGAACTGCTCTCTCCCCCTCCCCCTGGACCTCGGCTGGGCTTGTACTGACCTCGGTGAAGTCGGCTGTTGTCCATCGCCGGGAGGGTATTGCGCCTGGGGATGGTGGCAGCGGAGGCTGACCTGCTGTTTTCACCGATGGGAGGTCTCTGCTGAGGGCTGCCCCACCGAGGTGTTTCTGCCTGACTTGGCTTGGGGGGTCTGGGTGGGGGAGCTATGGCTGAGTCCCCAGGAGCGGCCACTGCCATGGCATTGTGGTTCTTGTCCAGCGTGAATGTCCTAGGGATCTGGTAGGCGGAGAGGGGGGTGGCCGGAACATCCATATTGTCTACCAGGAGGTCCCCGAACTCCCTGCACAGGGTGTTGCTGGGCGTCTTGAAGGTGTATATGTCCTCGTTATCCGTCTCGGAGCCCGTGAGGCTGCCCTTGGTGTGGCTGTGAGAGGCCAGGCTCCGGGGCAGGTCGTAGGCACTGTCTCTGAATTCCGCATGGTGCCGGCTCGGCTTGGGGAGGCTATAGAAGCCATGGACTTGACCGCTGACCCCGTTGACACAGTGTCCGTTGCCCTGGGCAAGTTTCTGTACGGCTGTGTCACTCCTCATGAGGAAAGAGGCCCTGGTGCCCTGAGAGAAGCTGGCACTCCTGACAGAGAAGGAAGGGAAGGGGCAGGCGGTTAGAGGAGGCCAGGACTGCCGCCCAGGGAGGGCAGCTGGCATGGCCAAAGGCCCAAACAGCCCCTTGGTGCGGGGAAAACAGGCTGAGGGGTAGGCCGGCGCGAGGTTTATCTCAGTTTACTAGCCGTGTGACCTTGGGCAAGGCACCTCCTCTCTCTGAGCTTCAGTTTATGCACCTGAGAAAATGGTGATTAAAAACATGCTCTGAAGGTTATTCAGAAACTGGACTCTAGTATATAGGTGTTCAATCAATGTGAACCTTTATTCCTCCCCATACCCCCAAATGGCTGTGATTAGCAGGGGCTGGTCTTACCTTACCCCCCTACCCTCATATGCACAGATATCAACAAGCCAGTTATACTTCTAACTTGATCACTGTTTTAAGTCAGAATATATACATTTCAATACAGAGGCTGAGAGACAGAACAAAGAACCCTTAAGTCAGTGTCAGAAAACAGCAAACAAATCACTTTCTCCAAGTCTCAGTTTTCCCACTGCAAAATAAGTCAGCTCACGGGTGCTAAAGTTGTAAGTTATAAAGAACTATTCAAATGTTAGCTAATGTTTCTACTATGTGCTATGGTTTGTTGAGAGGCATTTATAAGGAGAAATATCTCTTTCCAGAAGCCAAAGTATTTACAGGAAAATGGTTTCCTGTTTGGGACCTATATTCAGGATAGAAAAAATATTACATTTTTTTAAACTTAGGTATTTTGGAAATAAGGTAAAACTGAGCAGTTTAAAGACCTAGGAGTGGAGGGATGTGTGTTTGGTCCCAGTACTGCCACGGATAAGTCTGTGAGCTTCACCAAGCCCCTCCCCAAGGTGTGACCTAGTGGGAGGCTCCGGAGGGTCCATTTGGCTCCGAAGCTGCATACGCCTTTGGCTTTGTAAGCGTGGTTTTCAAACTGGACTGTGTTCTGCATCGGTGCCTTGGGAAACTGGAGGGGAGGTTCTAAGCAAGCAGGGATCCAGGTCTGGTTTTCTCTCTCTTACATTAGGATTCTTCATAGGATTTCATTTGGGGGAAAAGAAAAGAGTAAACACTATTCTAGAACAATCCTTTATAGTAGTGCTTCTCAGCCTTTTGGGGGCTATAAACTTCTAAGAATCTGATAAAAAGCTCTTGGAATTTCTCACCAGAATGTTGTATATATATACAATCTGCACATTAAATCGGGGGGGGGGGGACGACAAA